AGATATTTATTCTGTCTTAAGTGGACACAGGCTTAAAGCACCAGTGCACAACGCACACTTATTTGCTTCCTGGAAGACTTCAGAGCTATTGTCAGCAGCGAGCACTGCAAAGTAAAAAGAGCCAGTCCTCTGGGATAGGAAGAGATGTTGCATTTATACACAGCACCGCATTTGCAGGGCAGCTCCACACTTCACAGTTGATGTGGAAAGCAGGCAGGTACATATAACTAGCTCTTACATGCACAGGTGTTTTTAGGATGTATGTACAAGCATGTATCTGTGACAATGGGATTGCATGCACACAGCTGCAATTAGGAGTCTTGGTAAAACACTTCAAAATAACAGTCAGATCAAGAGTTAGTGGCAACAGGTGCTGGCAGAACCACAAAGCCTTTCCATGAAAAGAACCATTTCCTTCAGCACGCCATCAAAGAATATTTGCTCAACGCTACTCCTTCCCCCAAGAAAGCCTTTGCATAACAAAATACTGGCCTTTTGGAACCGTGATCCTGTCTGATTTAAGAGAAGGATCTGCACAACTCCCCAGAAGGGTTCGACAACGACAAAAGGTAAGTGAAAGAAAACTGAGGCAAAGTAAAAGACCCGGGCGAGGGTGCCTACTAAGGATGACTGACATGCACTCAAAAACCAAGAGCTGCCCAAGAGAGGATACACAAAAATAAGGGATGCTTGACATGGAAGGATTGTGCCTTGGAATGCAGACATTCACTGGCAGACCACAATGTGCAGTGTTTAGTTGCATTTGTAAATGGGCCAGTAATACAGTGGTACCTCGGGTTACATACGCTTCAGGTTACAGATGCTACAGGTTACAGACTCTGCTAACCCAGAAATAGTACCTCGGGTTAAGAACTTTGCTTCAGGATGAGAACAGAAATCGTGTGGTGGCAGCGGGAGGCCCCATTAGCTAAAGTGGTGCTTCAGGTTAAGAACACTTTCAGGTTAAGAACGGACCTCCGGAACGAATGAAGTACTTAACCCGAGGTACCACTGTACAATAGGGACGCGGGTGCCTAGGACTTGCCGATCGCATGGTCGGCGGTTCGAATCCCCGCGGCGGGGTGCGCTCCCGTCGTTCGGTCCCAGCGCCTGCCAACCTAGCAGTTCGAAAGCACCCCCGGGTGCAAGTAGATAAATAGGGACCGCTTACTAGCGGGAAGGTAAACGGCGTTCCGTGTGCTGCGCTGGCTCGCCAGATGCAGCTTGTCACGTTGGCCACGTGACCCGGAAGTGTCTGCGGACAGCGCTGGCTCCCGGCCTATAGTGAGATGAGCGCACAACCCTAGAGTCTGGCAAGACTGGCCCGTACGGGCAGGGGTACCTTTACCTTTTTACCACTGTACAATGCCACCGACAGAACTATCTTCAAAATTCAGAACCCAGTCCTTTTCAAGCAAGGCCAGTTCAGACGTTTTAAGTAATCAAGTGCAGAGGACACATGTTTACATGTGTGAAGGAGTCTTCTCAGTGAACTGAGGAGGACCTTTCAAAAGGGGGCACTGCTCTATAAACCTGCTGCCCACAGATTTTTTTTCACAAAGAGGCTCAACTGAGCAAAGGTCCGACAACCTCGGACTGGATTCTGAGGAGCTCTTTGGCAAACAGAAGGCCTCTTCCTGGAGAAGGGCTTTTCGTTTTGTTTTCTGGCTTAGTGCAAGATCCCTGTGTGCGAAAAAGAGAGCCAAAATCCAACGGTTAGCACGAGACCTTGCGCAAGATCTCAAGTTTCATATCACAGTAAGAGTTGGAAGGGTCTCCTGAGGGTCATCTAGTCCAACCCCCTGCAATTCATTGTGGTGCAAGATCTTCCACTGGCTCAATTTATTACATTTTGTGTCTCTTCAGATCCAGCCCACCAGCTGCATCTTCGAATCGTAGCCACACTTTCAACTCTACAATTCTATGAAATCCTATAACAGGCCACTCCAGGGTCAAACTGAGCCAGAAATTGCCTTTTTTGTAGCCTAGGATACTTAATTTCCCTTAAAAACAAAACAAAACCTGAATGAGATAATTATCAAAGGAGGTTCTGTTTAGCCACAGTGAGAGAAGCACATGAATTCTGGCATTCTTAAACCTCAGGAGCATGCGCTCAGACTGGGACCAAGGCGGCCGCAGAAAAGACACACTAAAACATGTAAGACAAACTTTGGATTCTTTAAAACTAAAGGCGGCAGCGGTGGCGAGCAATCAAACAGATCACACTCAACACCATTAATTAACGGCTAGATAAGACAGCTGAAAAGGTTCTTGCCATATAGTATGTTTTGGAAAGTATTCATTTTCAAAGCTCCTGTCTGTCGGAAATAAATAAGTTAAAAAAGCATTCTGGTAAAGCACAAATTCCATAGAATCATAGAACTGTAGAGTTGGAAGGGACCCCCAGGGTTATCGTCGTACTTCCTGAGAGGCAGGAATCTCAACTAAAGCATCCATGACAGATAGCCATCCACCCACTGCTTAAAAACGAGAGTCCACAACCTCTCGTGGGAGTCTGTTCCACGGTCAAACAGCTCTTACCATCAGAAAGTTCTTCCTGATGTTCAGTCGGAATGGCCTTTCTTGTAAATTGAAGCCATGGGTTCGAGTCCTACCCTTCAGAGCAGGAGAAAACAAGCCTGCTCCATCCTTCCCATGGCAACCCTCAAGATATCTGAAGATGGCTATCCTGTCTCCTCTCAGCCTCCTCTTTTCCCAGCTCCTTCGACCATTCCTCATAAGGCTTGGTTTCCAGGCCCCTGATCACCTTGGTTGCCCTCCTCTGCACATGCAGTAGCTGTTTTTGGACTACAGTTCCTATCATCCCTGACCACTGGTCCTGCTAGCTAGCGATGATGGGAATTGTAGTCCAATAACAGCTGGGGATCCAAGTTTGGGAAGCCCTGTGTTAGACACTAATGGCTTGTAAGTGGGACACATTAGGCAGACTGAGCTGACTGAGCTAGTGCCCTGCTTGCCTTCCACTAGCCGCGTTCACCAAGTCCAGGAATCCCACAGGTAAAGGAGGGGAATTTGCACCAGTTCTAGCTGCCCTAAGGATGGTGGGGGACCATAAACACTTTCTCCAATGCCCTGGTAGCAATTATGGTTTCACAAAAGCTCTCCTGACCAGGTTCTGTTTGCTCATACTACCATTTGCCCAGTAAACAAGCCGATACTAGGCCAATTACAGATCAGGTCAAGTTGTTTGTCTACTACAAATAAAGGCCATATAATGGTTTTCTGGAGACCTGCTCGTGAGATAAAAACAAAGAGCCCCTCTGCTAGCATTGCCTAGCTCTGCAACAGAAGGGGAGGGACGAGAGCCATAGGACTGCAGTTAGATTTCTCCCCCTTATCACTCTCACAGACTCGCTCTACAAGGGACTTCTGAGCACCTCCCTTGCAGTTCATGTCACAAGCGATGGATGCAGTTAATGCAGGTTGGGACCACGGCGGAAGAGGAAGCTGAGAGCAATTTAAAGCAAGGAAGGTTTAAGCATCGCATGCGGAAATGCCCTTCAAGTTTATTGTTTCAAAAAAGTAAAATGTGCAAACAAATCCTTTGCCGTCATCTTCAGAGTTATTAAAGACGTGCTTGTTGTTGACTTTATTGCACGCAGACAGAAAGCAAATGGGATCAAATATTTGGCCAGGCTGAGATTCCAAGCCTCCCTGTATATGTTGCAAATGGCACTACAGCAAATCTATTTCTGAATAACGTTAAGGGGCTGCTTATTCTAGATCAAAGATAGATCCAGGATAATGTGGGCCAAAGAGGAGATTACCAGCTGAGTTCAATCAAGTGGAATCCTTCTTTCACAGACCTAGGGATCCCCCCCCCCCGAATTAAAACTGGGAAGCAGACATCAAGGTTTATATTCAAAAATCCCCTTTTGCCAAAATCACTGCAACTCCAAAAATAAAGTAAGAAGAATGGGCAGTATGGGGTGGTTGGGGTAGAGTTATCCAGTTTCAAATGGTTTAATCTGTTCTCTTTGTGCGCCAAGGGGGCAATTTCACCCCAAGTAACCAATCACAATTTCCATATTTATCAGAGCGTCGGCACTAGTTTCAAGGGGACTGCACAGATAAATAAGATAAATCAGGTTAGATTGCTGCAGAACAGAGTTCACATTGTGTACATTAGCTGTGCTTGTTGTCACAAAGATGTAAGGCCACTAGGCAAAAAGGCACGCGGGATTCTTCTTCTTTAGAAAAATACATGAACCTTGTAATATTACTTTAAAGAAGAAAACACAAATTCACAGGGCAGAAGCGGTGCCAGGAGGGAAATGTCCCAGACTCTCCGAATTGCATTCGTTTATATTCCAACATCAGAAAGTTTAACCTTTTGCCTAAATCAGTCTGAAAAACATTTTTTTTAAACAACAATGCCACCAATTGATGCAAGCCCTAGCAAGAGGGGGCGGGGAAGGTTTTTAAAATGGTCAGAAGTGACATCCTGTTCAAAAATATCAAAAATAAATTAAGCAGTTGTAAAAACTGTTCTAAACATGTCTAAAAATGATAAATGGGACACCAGCAGCTATAAATACAACCCAACATACTAATAAAAAGAGGAGTCCCTTTTGGAGCAATTAAAACAATATTTACATAAATAGTGGGGCGGAGGATTCTACGTTGCATGATTTCAAGTTGCAAAACGGACTTTTTCTTCCACAGCACTGATTCCAAACTCTTAAGAGCAGGAGTTGTCAATATGGTGCCCCGTGTGTGTGTGTGTGTGTGTGTGTGTTTTAAGACTCCAACTCCCATCATTCCCACCCAGCATGGCCAATGATCTGGGATGATGGGAGCTGTAGTTTAGCAGAATTTGGAAGGCACCATGTTGGTTAATCCTACCTAAGGCGCAATCTGCACTCTATACATTTAAAGCAACAGCATACCTGGGAACTGCGGTTTGTTGAAGTTGCTCAGAGTTCCTAGGGAGAGGAGTTGATTATGCTGGGAATCACAGCTTTACGCAGCAACTTTTAAAAAATAAACCCCCACAGTATCCAGCATTCTTGTGGGGAAGCGATGGCTGTTTAAAAGTGGTGTAAGAGGGCTTTCAATACACATATAGTGCAGACAGGGGGCTTACAGAGAAGGAAAGAAAAAGAAAAAGTCATGTAACGTTTCAGGAACCACAAAGGTTGAGGGCACAGAACCTTCGGTTGCAAAAAGGACTCTGATGCAAAAAGGAAAAGAGGGAAAGGAAAAGAAAAAAAGTTGTTTGCCATTGCGCCTTCTCCGCCAAGGAGGTAACAGCAGCTCATGAGGTATCATCTAGAATCTTCCTTAAAAACAAACACCACCTTCGTCAATGCCCAGAAGTATCCGGAACAAAATGTGAGACACTGGCTTCCCAAACCCAGACTTTTCAAAAAGGTAATTCTCGTTCCTATCTAGTATTTGGAGGATATACTTCCTGAAAATACATGGAAGTGTTGCATGTCTAATAAAACTATTTGGATTATATTAGTAAGCCAAACCATCCCGTATCTGACTGCTATGTTGTACCTCCCCCCCCCCGCCCAGCCCCATTACCAAGTTTAACAAAGGTCAGAGTTCATGCAAAAAACGCATGGCAATCTCATATTCCTAACGGAGATTTCCACTTCGTTGTAGCAGACCCCTCAAAATGTGCTCTCTTTTTTTGGTTATTCTGTATGCATATCCTGACTAGGTGAGAAAAAACAAACAACAACAACACTCTGTGCGTCCTAGGGCCTCGTGAGGAAGAGACTTCTCTATGGAAATATGAACCAAAAAAAATATTATTATTATTAATTTACAAGTCTTGCATATCTTCGTCCATTTGAACTGTCTGGAGCTTGGCCAGCTGCTTTTTGTCTGTCTCCAGCTCCTCGCAGATTGCGTCGACCATATTGCTCATTACGTATTTGGTTTTCGAATCCAGCATCATCAAGCCACTAGCGGATTTGCTCTCTGTCTCGGACAAGAAGTTTTCCTTTAGGCTGGTGACCGGCTGCAGCACCAACCGCTGCTCCCGGGCGAAATGGGGGTGCACTTGTGCCGACGGGTGGGGTCCGACGTGGCCGCCAATGTCCGGGCCGATGCCCCCCAGCACTGGCTGCGTTGCCGAAATGGACATCAGGTCGTGGCCGGAGAGGAGGGAGCAGTTCTGGAGCGTTGCATAGTTTGAGTTGGTGATGGAAACCACGGTCGCCCCGCTTGTGGCGGGAGCCGACAGAGGCGGGCTCTCGGACACGGGCGAGCCGAGTTCTTCGGAGTTTATCAGAGTGGGCGGTCCCAGGGAAAAGTTATGAGACAGGGTGACGTTGACGAGCGAGGAAGGCCCCCCGCCGGAGAGGCTGTCCGAAGGCAGGGTTGCGTGGAGTTGCGGGTTCTGGCCCAGGGACATTACTTGAGAAAATACCAGGCTGGCCTCCAGCCCTTCCTGCTTGACTGGCCCAATTGCCTGGCTCGAGTTGGGGAGCGTGTACACCACCGCGCTGGGAGGAAGGTTGCTGAAAAACACTTTCCCTTGCTGTGCCGCGGCGGAGTCGCTTGTAAACGTGCCGCTGCTCGGGGTGCTTTGATTTAGCGGCAAGTTGCCTGCGGTGCGAGAGGAAGGAAAAAACAAACAAACAGGAATAATAATAATAATAATAATAATAAATAATAATAAATTTTATTTATATCCCGCCCTCCCCAGCTGAAGCCGGGCTCAGGGCGGCTAACAACAATAAAACAGTACAACAGTACAACACAACACTCTACAACACAACACTCTAAAATCATTCATTATAAAATTAATTCAAATCAAACCAATGGCAACCATTGGGCCTGAGCTCCGCGAAGATTGTTCTGAAACTGTTCTTAACCTGAAGCACCTCTTTAGCTAATGGGGCCTCCTGCTGCTGCCACGCCGCCGGAGCACAATTTCTGTTCTCATCCTGAAGCAAAGTTCTTAATCCGATGTACTATTTCTGGGTTAGCAAAGTCTGTAACCTGAAGCGTATGTAACCTGAAGCGTATGTAACCCGAGGTACCACTGTAAGCCACACATTGCAGTAGGTGCACACATGCCCAGACTTCTGGGGTTTCTTGATCAAGCCAAGATCACCTTGGTCCTTCATTTTCAAATTTAAAAATTAAAAATACATCAGGCTTGAGCACTCCCTGCTCCTTCTCCCATGCAGCCAGGAAGAAAAGTTTGAAAGCTCTTGTTACTTATTTTTCTTAAGCGTGAAAAATGCTGTTAAGCTAAGTTGTGCATCAGTGCAGAATAAAGATTGCAAAGTCAAGGTCCCACAGCCCATGTGCTTCTGAGTCTCCTGCGGCTTTCCTAAAAGACACATTGCAGTGGTACCTCAGGTGACAGACGCTTTAGGTTACAGACGCTTCAGGTTACAGACTCCACTAACCCAGAAACAGTACCTCGGGTTAAGAAATTTGCTTCAGGATGAGAACAGAAATCGTGCGGCGGCTGTGGGAGGCCCCATTAGCTAAAGTGGTACCTCAGGTTAAGAACAGTTTCAGGTTAAGAACAGACCTCCGGAACAAATTAAGTTCTTAACCCAAGGTACCACTGTAATTAAATAGTAATAATCATAATCATAATCATAAAATGTTTCAGGACCGCCTCCCTCCATACGAATCTACCTGGACCCTGAGATCATTCTTTGATGCCCTCCTCAAGATGTCCAGAGGGTGGCAACACAAAAAGGGGACTTTTCCGCAGGGTTCCCCGTCTTTACATATCTTTAGGCACCAAGCGAAAACGTTCCTCTTCTCCCAGGCTGATTTGACTGCCAATGCCCTTTTAAATGTGTTGCGGGAAGGGATTATTGGTTTGTTTTTGTTCTCCTTTTTATTATGTATTTTGGGTTTTTTATACAGTGGTGCCTCGCAAGACGAAATTAATCCGTTCCGCGAGTCTCTTCGTCTTGCGGTTTTTTCGTCTTGCGAAGCACGGCTATTAACGGCTTAGCGGCTATTAACGGCTTAGCGGCTTTAAGAAAAAGGAAACAAACTCACAAGAACTCGCAAGACGTTTCGTCTTGCGAAGCAAGCCCATAGGGAAATTCATCTTGCGGAACGACTCAAAAAACGGAAAACCCTTTCGTCTAGCGAGTTTTTCGTCTTGCGAGGCATCCGTCTTGGGGGGCACCACTGTATTGTGATTTTATGTTGTGAACTGCCCTGAGATTTACAGATGAAGGGCGTTATACAAATTTTTGATAAAATGTTAATGAAAATGTTAACAATAATAGTAATAATAATAATAATGTGTTTCTGTGTCCCCTGGGCTTTCACAAATTAAAAACTTCCCTGAACATGGGCTGCCTTCAGATGTCTTCTAAATGTCAGCTAGTTGTTTATCTCTTTGACATCTGATGGGAGGGCATTCCACAGGGAGGGTGCCACTACTGAGAAGGCCCTCTGCCTGGTTCCCTGTAGCTTTGCTTCTCGCAGTGAGGGAAAGGCCAGAAGGCCCTCGGCAATGGACCTCAGTGTCTGGGAAGAACCTCAGCATCCAGGCAGAATGACGGGGGTGGAGACGCTCCTTCAGGTATACTGGGCCAAGGCCGTTTAGGGCTTTAAAGGTCAGCACCAACACTTTGAATTGTGCTCGGAAACATACTGGGAGCCAGTGTAGGTCTTTCAAGCAAGGCAGGAAATGCACCCAGAGGAATTTAACAGAGGAGCTCTAAGCTCCAAGCCAAAGAAAGGCCTGCCCCTTTAAGCCAAGGATGGCTAATCCATGGCCAAAAAGATGCTGCTGCAGTACAGTTCCCACCAGCCACTGGCCAGAGGTGGTGGGAATTGTGGTCCAGAAAGATCTGCAGGGCCTCAGGTTAGCCACCCCGACTTTAAGCCTTCTGTTCATTCTCAGGCGTTGTCAGAGCAAGTTGCTCATCTGAGTGCTATTCTTGCTGTCTTGCCAAGACCAGGATATGACACATCCGAACGCTTGGCTCCAGGCGCCTGGATTAGATCTATAAAGATCTGAATTAGGAGAAAAGGAGCTTCAGAATGATGATGCACTGCTAGTCACTCTTTGGCCACTGCCTTCACGAACCTGGTGCCATCGAAGATGTTTTTGACTGCAACTCAGATCAGCCCCAGCCAGGCTGAATAATCAGTTTCTGGTTCTGTGGCACTATTAATTTTTTTTCTGTCGGTAGAACATCAGACTCTTAATCTCAGGGCTGTGGGTTCACGATGGGCAAAAGTTTCCTGCATTGCAGGGGGTTGGACCTTCTAGCTCTACAATTCTATGATTCTCCCTCCCTCCCCTGTGCCAATTTTATCCTCGCATCAACCCATAGCTGTCAACTTACAGATTTGAAAATAAGGGACCAGCAGACTCGAAAATAAGGGATCGCATTTCCTTTTCCCCCACCATGTGCCCCCCGCTCCAGACAGATCTTTTCCCCGGCAAGAGTGAGTGGGCCATCGATGACGTATCCATCCGATTCCGATCCAAGCACTCAGCACAGGTATGTTCAACTTCTGAGCCCCTCCGAGCCAAAGGCAGAAAGCCCAGCCAGCAGCCAAATGAAGCCCCAAGCGGTGGTTCCCACAGCGCAGCAACCCGGCAAAGGGGATGCAGCAAGGAAAACCACTGTCACCTCTCCGCTGGGAAGCGCTGAGCAAAGGCGAGTCCCCAGGCAACGCGGCCGATTTGATCGGCACAAGGCATGCAAGCTCTGCGTTGGGTGTGCAACGCAGCCAAGCAACCCAGTTGGAGTCTCCCTCCTCCCTGGCCGGCAGGGAGGGAGGGAGAGGAGCTGCTTCCTTTGAAACCCGGGAAATTTAAGGGACATCATCAATAAGGGACAGTAGCGGGACACGGCGCTGGGATAAGGGAGTTTCCCGCCAAATAAGGGACAGTTGACAGCTATGCATCAACCCTGTGAGGCAGGTTAGGTTGAGAGACTGTGACTGGCACAAAGTCATCCATTGAGATTCATGGCCGAGTGGGGATTTAAACCCTGATCTCCTGGGTCCTTGGTCCAACCCGCTAACCGCTACCCCACAATGGCTCTCAGGCAGTTTTATCCAGCAACTGCGGCATTGCCCAAAAGTTACGAATGACTCGCACGTTAACACAATTGAAGAAGTCAGTTCCCTGGCCCTTTAATCCGCCTCTTAAGTTATGGAAGAGAACCAGTACTGAAAAAAGAATGGCAGAAGAAAATGATGGACTATATGGAACTTGCCAAACTGACTGGGAGACTCCGGGACCAGAGAGAAGAGACGGTGGAGGAAGATTGGAAGAAGTTTAAAGAATATTTGAAAAAATATGTTAATATTTAAATCTTCGAACAGCTTTGGAAGTGGATATAGGCTGTAGGGTTAGAAGTAGAAGATAGTGTATTTTAAAATAGTATTACTTGTAAGGGATAAAATGTGAAGATTATTATGGCAAAAGAAAGTGTGATAAAAAATGCTTTAAAATTATGATATATGTAAACTGCTAAAGATGAGGTAAAATGAAAATCAGATAGGGGGAAGTTGGGGAAGCTCACCTAACAATGTTTAGAAAAAATAGGTATAAGACAAGAATTTGTTTGTATTGTTTGTTTTTCTGTTTGTGTTGTTTATTTGTGTTATAAAATGAATACATGGGGGGGGGGGGAGAGAAGAGAATCAGTACCGAAAAGCAAAGCAACTTAATGTGAATCGCAGTCAGATTAGAAGGCACCGGAATGCAAATTCTAGCTCAGCAAAGAACAAAGAGGTATTTTGAGAAGCCCAGATGGTGGAGTGGAGAACTATTTATAAGGATCTCCTCCAGGGTAGAAGAAAAACGGAGACTGGAGATGTGAAGCCCTTGGCTCCTTGCAGCAAGTTGTTTGATGCAATTAAAATTCAGTCCAGGGAGATCATATACCAAGTTCAGAAAATGAGCTCTCACTTGACCAAGATAGGTTACCTTACTGTTTGCATTTGAGATCTGCTTACTTTGGTTGCCTTTTATAAATGCAAAAATGACCAAAGGAAAAAAATAGTGTTTTGGAAACTGTGGTAAGCTAGGTTACTAACAGGGCCTGGGAATAAGGGACACATCTAACTAGTTTGAAAACAGCTATGCTGGCTCCCAATCCATTTCTGAGCCAAATTCAACATGCTGGTTTTGACTTCTAAAGCCTTTGACTTCTATATTAAGGGTTGCTAACCTGTAGCCCTCCAGGTGCTTTGGACTACAACTTCCACCAGCTCCAGTTCACATGACCAATGGTCAGGGATGATGGGAGTTGTAGTCCAGTTTCTGGATGGTCACAGCTTAGCCACCTTTGCCCTAAATGGTTTGGGACCAGGCTATCTTAATGGCCATCTCCTCCTTCATGAGCCATGAGTCAGATGGGTGTGGTGCAAATAATAAAATTATTGTTATTATTCTTGTTGCTGTTGTTGTTATTCCCCAGAGAACCTTCTACACATGCCCTCTCCCTTCAGATGCAATGCAGGTAGGGAATCTGTGAGAGTGCCTTCTCAGTGTTGGCTCCCCAACATAGAAACTTCCTTTCCATTCCTTTTCATGCCACTTTTACAGAAAAGGATAACTTTTAAAAAAAGAAAATAAAAACACACACGAAACTAAGCTTGCTTCGCTATTTCAAGAGACATATTTGAAGAGATGCGCGTTTTGGAAAACTGTGGGAGAAAATGGTTGCTTCCCTCCGATTCAACATTGTTTAAGTGCTTTAAATTTCAACCAAAGGTACCCTATAGACATCACTATTCAGGTCTGATTTAGATGGTGTGCAGTTCATTTATTTATTGGATGCATGTGACACTTGAGGGGGGGGAGGGATCCTCAATGTCTAGCAGCCAGAATCCTAGGCTTAGATCAATGAGAATAAGCCACACATGAGGAGGGGGGGTTTCTTAAATTTTCTGGTAATCCCCCCTCTGTTCCAGCCTCCCGTTTCACCACCAGGAGCCATTCTGCTCCAGAAGACTCAACCTCCAGGAGCCATTTTTGGGGAAGGAGGTAGAAAGACCACTAACACCCCTCAGGGACAGCATGCGAGGTGGCCCAGGGAGGCCCAGGGAGGACTGTCAAAATCTGCCACAATTTATATTTATATTTATATTTATTATTATTTTATATCCCGCCTATCTGGCTGGGTTTCCCCAGCCACTCTGGGCAGCTTCCAACAAAATATTAAAATCCAATTATCCATCAAACATTAAAAGCTTCCCTAAACAGGGCTGCCTTCAGATGTCTTCTAAAAGTCTGGTAGTTGTTGTTCTCTTTGACATCTGGTGGGAGGGCATTCCACAGGGCAGGTGCCACTACCGAGAAGGCCCTCTGCCTGGTTCCCTGTAACTTGGCTTCTTGCAGTGAGGGAACCGCCAGAAGGCCCTCGGCGCTGGACCTCAGTGTCCGGGAAGAACGATGGAGGTGGAGACGCTCAAATGACCTGATCAAATGACCTTCTCTTTGCAGAAAAATTCCTTCTGTGTACAGAAGGGACCCGCTTACGCATTCCATACAGGAGCTTTCACCCACCTGATGTTTTGGCCTACAACTCCCATCAGCCTCAGCAAGCACAGCCATAGACATCACAGCAGGGGCTGATGGGAGTTGCGGTCCTGGAGAGGAGCAGGGGGGTGAAATCTGACGTACGAAGCACGACTACAAAAATATCCAAGAGACTCAGCTTTCCGAACCCCATAGCAAATTGGAGAGAGAGAAAAACCTACCTTGGGAAGTTGCTGTTGATACAGGAGGGAGCTGGACCGGCGAAAAACTGATGCCTCCGTTGAGGAGCTGGCCTCCGTTTGTTGCCGAATTGGGAATCTGGACGACACCATATTGGTTTATTTGGACAGGGCCTGTGAAGGTAACAATGGAGCTGCCGTCTTGCGAGGCGATGGCTTCTTCACTTTCTTCCCTCTTCACCTCAAGGCTTGGTATCAGACCTGAGAAAGAGGCAGAACTGGGGCTGTATGCTGTTGTCGTCGTCGTCGATGGGGCCGCCGAGTTGGACATGGAAGTCTGGAGGATTTTGAAGTCTTTCACGTCTTCCGACGAAGAGGCCAGCATGTCGGCCAAGGGCATGCCGTTGCTCAAAGAGCTCGGAGACGTTTTGGGCGGATTCAAGGGCGAGGCAGCGCCCACGTTGAGCCCGTTGAGGAGGACCCCGTTGGGCCCCTGGATGAAAGAGGTGCCGTTAAGGAAAACGGGGGACGGGTTGGCGGGCACCAAGTTCCCATTCAACAAAACCCCGGGGGAGCTGAGAGGTATTTTGGAGTTTCCAAGCTGCTGCATGTAGATAGGCTCCATGTGGCCAGGAAGGCTCAAGGTGGCACTTCCGTCAGAGGCGCTGGCAAGCTGGTGGGGAGACAAGTCCTCTTGCCCCTTGCTGGACTCATCTTCCGTGCTGGGGTTGCCATCCGACTCGCTGCAAGGCAAGAGAGAAAGAGGAGTGAAATAATAATAATAATAATAATAATAATAATAATAATAATAATAATAATAATAATTTATTATTTATACCCCGCCCATCTGGCTGGGTTTCCCCAGCCACTCTGGGCGGCTTCCAACAAAACACTAAAATACAATAACCTATTAAACATTAAAAGCTTCCCTGAACAGGGCTGCCTTTAGATGTCTTCTAAAAGTTTGGTAGTTATTTTTCTCTTTGAAATCTGGTGGGAGGGCGTTCCACAGGGCGGGGGCCACTACTGAGAAGGCCCTCTGCCTGGTTCCCTGTAACTTGGCTTCTCGCAGGGAGGGAACCGCCAGAAGACCCTTGGAGCTGGAACTCAGTGTCCGAACAGAACGATGGAGGTGGAGACGCTCCTTCAGGTATACTGGACCGAGGCCTCCAATTTGATTTGAACAAAGCCTTGTTCTGGGGGCAGGGAGAGTCTCCCTGCACACAGAAAGCTAGCACGTGATGGGGAAGATTTTGAGGCTATCCTCCCTGAAGACACCCATTTTCCATATAGAGAGAACTGCTTTTTGTCTTGAGGTTTAAAGTAGAGCAGACACACAGCTCTCTCTCCTATCACCTGAAATGGTACAGCCCAGGATAAGAACTCTGCTGGGTCAGGCCAATGGGCCATCTTGTTGTTGCTGATAACAACAACAACAACAAAATTATTATTGATACTTATTCAAGCATATACAAAAATTCACACCCACTACTAAGCCTCTTTCTATAATACATGGAAATAATACAGATACTTAATCTAAAAAAAGAACAGAAGCAGAAAGAAGAAGAAAAGGAAAAAGAAAGAAAATTATAAAGAAAAAAAAGACTTTCGGTTCTCTGTGCTGCAGCTAAATAGAGTATTCACTCATCCAACCATTCTATCTTCTATAAACCAATTTAAAAAAAACCTTCAAATCCAGATACAGTGGTACCTCAGGTTACATACGCTTCAGGTTACAGACTCCACTAACCCAGAAATAGTACCTCGGGTTAAGAACTTTGCTTCAGGATGAGAACAGAAATTGTGCTCCAGCGGTGCAGCGACAGCAGGAGGCCCCATTAGCTAAAGTGGTGCTTCAGGTTAAGAACAGTTTCAGGTTAAGAACGGACCTCCGGAACGAATTAAGTTCTTAACCCGTGCTACCACTGTATTTCCATTTCCTCAAGCACAGAGAAGAGGCAAATGTCCTCTCCGGCTCCCATTTCCAGGGCAGTCCAACATGTTTATTGCAAAAGGAACCAAAAGGAAAGATATAGCCTCAGGCCAGCCTCTCTGCCTCCTGCTAAAGTGTCCTCAAGAGAGGCACAAATGTGGGGGACGCCCAGCTATTTGCAGCCATTTGGAGAAATGCCAGGGGGAACAATGTGTTCTTGGCATCTTGTCTGCTATCGAGTGTGGCATTAGGCAACCCCATACACAGAGGAGCACACACATCCAGCCTAAATGTTCTCAGGATTACCGTAATTTTTCAACCTTTCCTTAGAACCCCAGTTGCAAAAATTTATACAAAACTACCGTATTTACGGTGACGCGGGTGGCGCTGTGGGTTAAACCAGAGAGCCTAGGACTTGCCGATCAGAAGGTCGACGGTTCAAATCCCCACGACAGGGTGAGCTCCCGTTGCTCGGTCCCTGCTCCTGCCCACCTAGCAGTTCGAAAGCACATCGAAGTGCAAGTAGATAAATAGGTACCACTGTGGCGGGAAGGTAAACTGTGTTTCTGTGCGCTGCTCTGGTTCACCAGAAGTGGCTTAGTCATGCTGGCCCCATGACCCAGAAGCTGTACGCCAGCTCCCTTGGCCAATAAAGCGATATGAGCGCCACAATCCCAGAGTTGGCCACGACTGGTCCTAACGGTCAGAGGTCCCTTTACCTTTAACCGTATTTACTCGAATGCAATTTCGCGAAAATTAGGGTGCGCGTTAGATTTGATGCGCATTTATGTACATTCCCCAGCAAATGCTTTTTTGGTTTCAAGGTTCTGAAAATGGAGGTGCGCATTAGATTCGCTGCTTCATATAGACAGTTTAAACCACTGGTCCATCTACCAGGCATGTTTTGGGGACCTAATCCGGCCAGTGGCGGAGCTTCATACTCTGGCATCCGGGGGGGGGGAGCAGGCGGGGGAGGGCTGGTGCACATCCCGGGAGTGTGGTGTGCCACCCGCCAAGGTATGGCATGCATCCTGGGGGCATGGTGCGCCACCTGAGGGGGCAGCCACGATGGCACCCCACCAGGATCGCGCTGCCGGGGGAGTTACGCCCCCCGCCCTCCTCTTCCTCATCCAGTGAATCCAGCCTGCCGGTAGTTTAATCCGGCCCCTGTGGATTTTGGTTGGCCCTCACAGCCCTTTGATTTAATCAAATCTGGCATCCTTTGAAAAAAGTTTGGACACCACTGAAAGCAGTTCTCCAGGATTCCAGACAGGGCTCTCTCCCAGCCATACCTGAATATGCTAGGAGACGATACGATACAATACAATAATCGATACAATAATCTTTAGTCACTGTCCCATACAGCACAACGAAATTGAAAAATCTACATCAAACATTCAAAAACCAACAAGCCTGCTATCCCAAACTATCCCAGCCTGTTTAGCCCCTAAAAACTCTGATACCCCATAATTGAATGCAATATACTTACACAGACACTACCTTACACTGCGTTTAAAACCAAAATCGAATTTGGATAGAAACTGTTTCTCAGGTGGCTAGTCCTGGTCTTTATAACCCTGTACCTTCTTCCAAAAGGCAAAAGCTGAAAGAGATCGTTTCCGGGGTGCGCACTATCCCTGAACCTGGGACCTTTTGGATGCAACGCAGAGGCTCTGCTACTAAGCTGCAGCCAGCCTTTTGCATCTGGCTACTGGCCACTTGCAACCAAATGATGCTAGGATGAAGACGCCTGACATCTCCATAATCTGGAGATGCACATTTGGGGATCCTTGGATCTTGCCTGTTTTCACACACTAACACCCCATCCTGTAGAATTCTATCCATTATATTTTATCTGCACAATCAGAATGAATTTGAGGAACCAACATGCTTTTTCTGTGCAGCCTGAGCAGGAGCACTCCCCATTAAGAAAAAGAGGTTGGAACAGGCCAATATATATGGGGACTGTCCCTGGATCAAGAGACTTTTCTTCTTTAAATTCTCAAATCTCTTAATCTAGCTAAGGTTGTCATCTGAACTAGACAGATGTTTAACTGATAATCAATCACAGCCAGCCCATCATTTGAAAAATAAGACTTTAGAGCCATCTTAACCCAAAATGGCCATAAATTGGACCATAAAGAAGGCTGATCACTGAAGAATTGATGCTTTTGAATTCTGGTGCTGGAGGAGACTTGAGAGCCCCATGGACTGCAAGAAGATCCAACCTATCCATTCTGAAGGAAATCAGCCCTGAGTGCTTACTGGAAGGACAGATCCTGAAGCTGAGGCTCCAATACTTTGGCCCCCTCATGAGAAGAGAAGACTCCCTGGAAAAGACCCTGATGTTGGGAAAGATGGAGGGCACAAGGAGAAGGGGACGACAGAGGATGAGATGGTTGGACAGTGTTCTCGAAGCTACCAGCATGAGTTTGACCAAACTGCGGGAGGCAGTGGAAGACAGGAGTGCCTGGCGTGCTCTGGTCCGTGGGGTCAAGAAGAGTCAGACACAACTAAACATACTACATTTTTTAAAAATTGCCTTGAGAGAGTCTTTAAACCTCTTTTGTAGACCACCAGCATTACACTTTCCATTTTTAAGTTTGGAATAGAGTAGTTGCTTTGGAAGATGATCATCAGGCATCCGCACAACATGAGGAGTCCAACAAAGCTGATGTTGAAGAATCATTGCTTCAACTCTGGTGATCTTTGCTTCTTCCAGTACACTGGCATTAGTTCGCCCGTCTTCCCAAGTGATGTGCAAAATTTTCCAGAGATGCCATTGACATAGCTGTCAACTTTTCCCTTTTCTTGTGAGGAATCCTATTTGGAATAAGGGAATTTCCCTTAAAAAAAAGGTTGACAGCTATGGCCATTGATGGAATCTTTCAAGGAGCTGGAGATGGCGTTTATAAGTTGCCCATGTTTCACAAGCATACAGTAAGGCTGGTAGGACAATAGCTTGGTAAAGAAGCATTTTGGAAGACAGGAGTGCCTGGCGTGCTCTGGTCCATGGGGTCACAAAGAGTCGGACACGACTAAACAACAACAACAACCCAAAATGGCAACTAGACGCAATGCTTTGGCGACTGTAACCTTGGTTTAAAGCGCCATTTGGCACCTAGCTTATATATCTCCGTTTCTAACCCTGGCTGAAGCCCTTCCCCAAGTTTAATTTGGAAAAGACAAATGGCTTTATGGTAACTTACCAAAGAAGGGCAACAAAGAACCAACATTATAAATTCATAGAAAGATGCGCCTTGTCAACAGCTTTTGGAATGAGAAAATTATGGACGACATAGGTAAAGGTAAAGGTAAAGGTACCCCTGCCCATATGGGCCAGTCTTGACAGACTCTAGGGTTGTGCGCCCATCTCACTCTATAGGCCGGGGGCCAGCGCTGTCCGCAGACACTTCCAGGTCACGTGGCCAGCGTGACAAGCTGCATCTGGCGAGCCAGCGCAGCACACGGAACGCCGTTTACCTTCCCGCTAGTAAGCGGTCCCTATTTATCTACTTGCACCCATGGACGACATACACCCCTGTAATTCTTTCTCAGATTCTTTCTCGCCTATATAACTTCTTTTTCCCCACCGCTGATTTTTTTTTTTAAAATTGACCAACATATCACTTCTCTTAAAATCATCTTTCTAACCCTTCTATTACTACTTTCAGTCTTTCTTACTAGAAAATGATGGTATGTTTTCTGCTATCTGAACTTGCTACCATGCAGAAAAATGCAAGCAGATTCTGAGAAAAAATTGGAAGCTATATAACTATTTATTCTCAAGGACAAATAATGTCTTTAAAG